TGTCTCTCCCTCTCCCTTTCTCTCCCCATCTCTGTCTCTGACTCTCTCCCCTCTCTCCCCTCCCCATGCTTTTTTTTTTTTTTTTTAAATTTTGGTACCAGGAATCAAACTTGGGACCTTGCACTTGCCAGGCAGGTGCTTGTGCTACTGAGCTGTATCCCCAGCCCGCTCCCCATCTCTCTATGTCTCAGGTCTCTATGTCTCTCGCTGTATGTCTCAGAGCTCTTTATGTGTGTGTCTGGCTCTCTCTCTCTCTGTCTCTCCCTCTCTGTCTCCCTCTCTAAGCTGAACACTGAACCCAAGACCTTCACACATTTCCAGCCCTTTTTAAAATTTTGATCCTCCTGTCTCAGCCTCCCAGAGCAGAGATTCCAGGCATGCACCACTATTATGTTAATAACCTTTAATTATTATGGGCTGATCAGGCCCACAATCTCCCAAATGAGTGGATGGCAAAGGCTTAAATAAATGAGACAACTGAAATGGTTTCAGGGCTCCAGGAGGATTCAGCCCTCTCACAGAATTCAAGATTCTCTGGGTTAAGACCAAGACTTCCCTGGGCAACCTATATTTACTAGTTTTTCAAACAAAGGAGGGGGATACTGAATAAAATGCAAAAATTTGGGCAAGACTTGACAATCCCTTTAAGGACTTTTCCAGGTATTACTTTATGTTAATTTAGGAGAACTATGTTATCTCCAGGAAGGCTTTTACCACAGGAGATGCCTACAGCTATAGTCTCCTTTAGTTAATTGGGGTTGGAGCCAAACATCCTTAGCTGTGGCCTTGTCCTCCTTTGAGGCGTCCCAACTTCACAGGCCAATTCAGACCCCACCAGGGACCAGTGTCTCATAGAGGTTCACTTACTATGAATCCACTGCCTATCTCCAGACAAGGGCCTAGGCCTCAGGGAAACTCACACATACACATGAAAAACCAATTGGTTAATATTAAATCCCGCACAGAGCCACTTCACAGTGGTCTCCATCACACCACCACATCGAGCTTGTACTTTCTTTCTTACTTTCTTTCTTACATTCTACAAAGGTAGAATACCATCCACATTACTCTGGATCTTTAAGGACATATACTTCTTCAAAATATGATTTCTCAGTCATAATATCGAGGGATTTTGTTTATTGTTTGCTTCGTTTCTGGTGCTGGGGGTCAAGCCCAGGGCCTTACACATGCTACGCACACACACTCTGGGGGTGAGCTACAACCACCATCCCACAATACCCACTTCTCTCTCCCATCTGCTTCATTGGTAAAAGTGAAGCTCAAGTCAGGGCTGTACAAATACTTTGATTAGATACACGGAAAGGTGTGGAACCATGAGGAAAAGCACAGCCAGGCCCTTGAGCTCAGGTGACCCTCTGGGTGTCTTTGGCAAGCATCACCTGGTCACAGTCCCGTGGGATGCAAGGCACAGAGGAGGCTGCATCTGTTCCTGCATGGCCTGGAATGGGGAGCTGAGGACAAAAATGCTAAATCTCTGTACTGCCAAAATCATGCCTGCTAATTATAATCAATTATCAATCTAAAGTCAAATGACAAATCAACCTCAATTCCACTTCTCCTAAGAAACTTGTTAACGGTGAGGGCCAATTTTTTGCCGCAGTACTGAGAGCAAGATGGAGGCAACAGAAAAGGACGTGTTTTTCTGGGGCCCTAAAAAGTCTCAAGAAGTAAGGATTGAGGAAGTAGCAAAGACTGAGGGCTGCCCTCTGCCCTCTGCCTAGGAGTCAGAGAGGCTAGGAGTGAAGGAGCTGGGAGCAGGGAGGACAGAAGGAGCAGAAGGCTGGGTTGTGTCCAACAAGACGCATCTGTTGCCTGTTACCAAGAGTAGCACTTGTGCTCCTTGAACCTCATTACTGGAGTTGGCATAATCACATACTAGGTAGGATGGTTTACTGCTGTGGAGGAGACACAGCACAATCAGCTTCCATGGTGGGCGTCAGTCTCCCATGGCCAGTAAGTCCTTTGCAGCAGCCAACCAGGGCCACTGGCCCGCACATACCTCTCTGTGCTGCAGCAGGACCCTTTCCCTTCCCCAGGAGACAGCCATAGCAGTGAGATCGGCCAACTGTCACATGGCCTACACACTCAAAAGAACACACATTGAGCCAGGCATGATGGTACATGCCTAAAGTCTCAGCACTCTGTAGGCTGAGGCAGGAGGATCACAACTTTGAGGCCAGCCTGGGCTAGACAGTGAGACTGTCTCATTAAAAAGAAAAAGGAAACACTCACTGAGGCTGAAACCAAGAAGGGATTCCCATACAAGGTGACAAGTCCAGGGCCAGGAATATAGCTCAGTGACACAAGCGCCTGTCTGGCAAGCGCAAGGTCCTGAGTTCAATTCCCAGTACCAAAAAAAAAGGTGACAAGTCTAGCACTAGCTATGAGGTAAGATGATGTTCCAGGCCCAGGTCCACTCTCATGTGGCCAGGAGGGGGATAGGAAAACCATACTGCCCTCTTATCCCTCTCTCTGCCACTTTCTCACCTGTCCCACTTGTGCCATGTCTCCTACGTTCACATCTGTCCTCAACCCTTGCACAATTCGCAGCAGGGGCAGTCTTAGGCCTCATGGGGCACTGGCCAGAGAAGCATTCAGCAAATACTTAGGGAAAAGGCCACACCAACCCAATGCCAGCTCTTGCAGCAGACACCTGGGATCTTTCCTGGTGGTCTTTACCTGGTGGGACTGAAAGGCAAGGTCTAGAACCTCAGTAAAGCCTGACATTGGGTGTCCCCCTGGCCACCTCAGGGAGCTGGCAGCTGGCTCAGATCAGCCCTCAGGAGGTGGGCACTTGGGAGGGGAGTGCTAGGTGTTTGCCAGCACCTCTGACAGGCCCAAGGTCATGGGGAGAGATGACTGGAAACATTCCCCAAAGATTACACCTCCCTTATTGGGTTAATAATATCCCTTAGTTTTTGTGTGCTGATCAGGTCCACAATGCCCTGAATAAGTGTATAGTAAAGGCTAAATAAAAAGAGGCAAATGGAATGATTTCAGGGCTCCAGGAGGATCAAAGCCCTCTTCACAGAATTCGAGATTCTCTCGGGCTGGAATTTATTTGGTTATCAGAAGGGACCGGAGTACTCAAGAAGGGCAGAATCACGCAAGGGCAGGCTTCTCCAAGTAAGGTATTAAGTTAATCCACCCAGCAGTGAGATGCCTGAGGCTACTGTCTTTATCTAGTTGAGGTCAGATCCAGGTTTCCTTGGCTGTGACCTTGCATTTTCCTCTGAGACTCCACTTTCTCCTTAATGGGCTGCAACTTATCATTAGAGGTGTCAGTTTTCTGCTGGATGCTCGAGATGACTCTCCAGGCTGACCTGCAGCCCCCTGATCACATTCTTGCAGGCCACCCAGGGCAGGCTGCGCTCCTCATGGGACAGCTCAGTGCCCTGCTCAGTTACCGCATTCATGCAGTTGGCCGAGTCATCATAGCACTCAACCAGTTGGCCTTCTGGATCAGTTCGGTCTTCTCCATGGTGCCAGTGGCTGTAGGGACCGGGGGTCAAGGCCAAGGTGAGCAAGGGCGAGCACCAACCTGGATCAGGAGGAGTCCACCTCAAGAGCTTCTTTTCTCTGCAGCCACATCACTAGTCCCACCACCCTGATCAGCTTTCAGCTTTTACTTGACTTGTATTTCTTTAATCACTAATGGTGTCAAACCCTCTGCCAGTACCTCCTTGCTGTCTGAGGATATTTGGTGAAATGTCTCCTCAAATCTTTTTGGACAGCTAGTTGACCAAAGGTCACAATGACAGCATATATGAAGCATTTGCAGGAAGCCTGCCACACACCGAGGACTTTAGAGTTAATTTTACTATTGTACTTGTTGTGCTGACCCAAAAGAACAGAGCTTCCCTGTGAGTTCTCAGGTTTGAAGTCAGGGCCAGCACTGTCCTGACTCAGTGAGAACATTCTGCTCCCTCAGCGCAAGGGGAAGGAGAAGAGCAGTGTGTACAAAGGGTCGATCATGACTAACGCCCACCTGAACCTTCTGATGAAGCAAGACTTCTACATTTAGGCATGAAATCTTGGGGTCAGAGGTACTCAGCCACTTCTCCAAGGCTGACACTTAAACTCAGAGGAAATGTGGATGCCGAGGCCATGCCTCTCCCAAAGCAGCCCTGTGGCCCAGCACAAGCAGCAAGCTGGGAGGGACAAGCGCCAGGCATGTGCAGCCCTCAGGGACAACCACAGCTCCACCAAACTGCATGGCCTGCACCAGGAGGCTGGAGCTTCAGCAGCTAAGAACAAAGATAGCCCCACAGTGCATTAGCAGCACAACTGGGGTTCCTCCCCCACGGGCCACGGGCCCTCCTACAAAGTGAGAAAACAATCCCTTCACAGGGCACTTGTGCACACAGCATAGTACCCAGCCCACAAGAACACCAACGCTTTCTCCTCTGTATTTGTATCGGTGCTTTTCTCTGCCATTAGCTTTGACCTATCCCAAAATGCAATGTCTTAGCCAGGCCTAGTGGCACTTGCCTGCAACACTATTCTGGGTGGCTAAGGCAAGAGGATTCTAAGTTTGAACTCAGCCTGAGCAACTTATGACCTTGCTGCAAAATAAAACATTAACAAAGCATAAAAATAAATAAATAAGCCAGGCATGGTGGCACACACCTGTAATCCCACCACTTGAGAGGCTGAGGCCGAAGGATCGGTGCAAGTTCAAGGCCAGCCTGGGCTCCACAGTGAGTTCAAGGCCAGCCTGAACTATATAATGAGACCTTGTCTCATAATAAATAAATAATTAAAATATTTACAAACGACTGAGATGTAGCCTGTGAAGGCTCTGAATAGAGTCCTCAGTACTCTGCAAAAAAATACAAACATAAACATAGTATCTGAGGATTGAGTTGGAGCACAGTCCTTATAGCTCTCAGAGCCCAACCCTGTGCTTTTTCTTATCCATGCAGAAAGGATCTCATAAGCATCTTGAGTATTCTAGAACAACAACTGATGACAAAGCATAAGAAAAGCAGAAAACTAAACTTTATTAAAGCAGCTAAACTCAGCACTAGATAATACTTTCTAAATGATACAGCCATGAAATAGGAATCGAACACAAGCACTATCTAATGCCATATACTTGTGGTGAGAACAATTCTTAATTGCTCACTTCTCCAGTATCAATTTAGAGAATTCTGTCATGTTTTTTCCCTCTCATCTCCTTGCTTTGGTGTCAAACTGATTTGTCTTGGACTCCAGACCTTCTTACCAAGCCAGGCACTGACTCAGCTACCAGCCCCTCTCTCTGCCACCAGAGGGAGGTGTGCAAGGTTGTACCTGGCTTCCAGTGACAAACACCCCTTCACAGCATCTTCCTACACAGGACCAGAAAAGAAACTGGAGTTGCTTGGTGTGAAGAAATTTGAGTTTTTATCACCGGGACCTGAAATACCTGGGTGTGCCCCTGCCTGCACAGCTAGGAGCTCTGCCGAGGGCTCTGGGTCACAGCAAACAGGGCACAGGGTGCCTTAGTCCTTCTTGCCTCCTGGGACCAGGCTCCTTGTAAGGAGCTTTCCTGGGCTGGAGGGGGGCAGCGTAGACACCGTAGGGGATTCCAGCTTCACTCTATCCAGCAGGGTCTTCTTTAGGGCAGCTGGGGAGATCTTTTCCTGGTCAGCCATGGACTGCAGCTCCCTGCAAAGTCCCAGACAGATTCAAGAAAGGAAATAAGCCTTGCAGACAGAGCTTTGAGTTTTCCCCATTCACACAGCCTCAGACCCTTAATTTGACTTCACCAAAAATTAGAATCCCAAGCCAAACACTCCCACGAGCTTCACAGAAATACTATTTAAGCCGGGCATGGAGGCATACACCTATAATTCCAGCACTCGGGAGGCTGAGGCAGGAGGATTGCTGCAAGTTTGAGACCAGCCTGGGCTACAAAGTAAGCTCAAGGCCAGCCTGAACTGCATAGCAAGACTCTGTCTCAAAAAGACAAAAAAAAAAAAAAAAAAAAAACTATTTAACTAAGCCTTATCTCATGTGATCTGAGCTACACATGGAGCTCAAGTGGTACCCAATCATGAGAAGGGGCAGTGAATTAGTTCCAAGTCAGAGACTTAAAGCTGAATCCACCTCCATCACCTGTCAACTGTTTGACTTGAACTTCCCCATCTGCACATCACAGGTAAACCCAGAATTACATAAGGCCTACAAACCTCTTAGCTAAACAAACTATAGTAAGTCATGCTGCCCATTTATGAGGAAGGTTGCAATTTTTTGAATTTGAAAAATCAGATCTTGGTAACAACTCTGACCAACAGGATATAACTACCATTAACTCCCAAATGGTTGGCATTCCAATGATGGAATATAGGGCAAAAAAGTTAACAGACTCCAGCCCTACTAAAAGGACCCAAGGCAGCAGAAAAAAAAAAGAACCACAAGATGGTACCCAGCCCAGGCCAGGGACATGAAATAGCCCACCGTGTTCTGATACAGGAGGCCTCAACTGCATTGATGAGCAGAGAGCGGAAGCCCCCGCTCTCTAGAAAGTGCAGGGCATGAATGGTGGCTCCCCCAGGAGAGCAAACATTGTCCTTGAGCTGGCCTGGATGGTCCTCTGAGTCCAACAGCATCTTGGCAGCTCCCTATGGCACAAAGGAGCATTAGAGGGGCTGGGGATTTAGCTCAGCGGCAAAGCGCCTGCCTGGCAAGCACAAGGTCATGAGTTTGACTCCTGGTACTGGAAGAAAAAACGAAAAACAAAGGAGCATTAGAGGAAAAAGCTGCCAGTGCACACTGGGACAAGCTACCCCAAATCCCCTGCTCCTGGCCAATCCCAACCAACCCATCCCCAGCTTGGCACCCCAAGAGAAACTCCATCCCACACCCTGCTCCCATACATGCAGGGAAGACACTGACCAGCAAGGCCTGGGCCCCCAGTCGGACTGCAAGGCGCCGTGGCAAACCCATCTTCACCCCACCATCAGCCAGTGCGTCCAGGGCCATGAATGCCTAAGAAGATGCTCATTGAGCTGGGGGAGTGGGCACTCCTGGCTCTCCTCAGGTTCTGCCCTTGAGATGAGTAGAACTAGCTCCAAGGTCAGCTTCCCCCTCCAGCCAGCCACAAGCCTTTCCAAAGGGAAGGCACTGCCCCCAGCCCAAGCCTGCCTGCCCTCCCCTCCTGCTGCGTGCCTAGGCCTCCCACAGGCAAGTGAGTGGGGGTGAAGGCCTCACATAGGCAGGCCCGCTGCCACTGAGCCCGGTGATAGCATCGATCAGGTCTTCCTCCACCTCCGTGCAGAAGCCCACGCTGCTCATCAACTGCTCCAGGAGCTGCCCATCCTCCACCAGGGCATGGGTGCCAGTGGCATATACGGTGGCACCCTCCCGTACCACCACAGGTGTGTTTGTCATGCAGCGAATCACTTTGGGGGCCGGCTGGAATGCCATTAGCTTCTAAAGCAACACAGAGAGCCAAGTGAGTGGCCAGGGCACAGATTCCACCCATCAACGGCCACTCCCAGGCCGCCTTCCTCTCACTCAAACGCTGAGATGCGCACCTTCTCCACAGAGCTGATGGTGACACCGGCCGCACAGGAGACTACGATGTGCCTTGCTTGCACGTCCACCCCAATCTCATCCAGGATGAAGGGGATAATGTGCGGCTTTACAGCCAGGAACAGGACGTCACTGTGCCGCACAGTTTCCTTGTTGCTGCGGGTAAGGTTCACACCCATCTTCTACAGGAAGAGACAGACAGGCTGAGAGACAGTGCTGGCAGCCTAGTGAAGCCGGAGCCTCTCAGAAGAACTGAGCTCCTCCTGCCAAGCCCACGTGGTGGCTGCAACCACAATTCCTTGCCCTGTGCCCTCGGGTTCCCCACCACCCCACCCACACCCCAGGCAACAGTTTTCCACTCCTGCTGCTGAGTACGTGGAGTAATGGGCATGGCAAGTTTCTCTCCGCCTGCCCTCACCCTCACCAACCTGATAGGCAAGGCACCTCTCCCACAGCTAAGAAGGCTCCTGGTGGGCAGGGTGCAGGCAAAAGGAAAAAGGAAATGCTAGCGCCTGGGGTGGAAGCAGAGCTGGGTGGGGCCTCATTCTAACCCGGACCACTCAACTCAGACTACATGGGCTGTCCGTGGACCCAAGTGGAAAGACCTCCAGTGCTAGCATGTCAGGGCACCCCCTAGGCACAGAGGGCGCCTGTCACCTGCCTCCTTAGCCACCTCTCCTACACCGCCCAGATTTTGGAAGATCTGGAACTGTGCTTTTGGAGGCAGGAACAGTTCATCTGCCAGGTTCTTTCTCAGTACACACACTCATGTGTCAGGACACCTGCACGGTGGCTACTGTAAATGAGGAAACGACCTCAGCGTGGCCGAGCACGTCAAGAACACACGGCTGATGAAGAAACACGAGTCCTCATTAGGCTCCTGCGATGCGGACGCTTTCCACCTATAACTATCTCCGCCAGTCCTGCAACCACCCCAGGTCTGGATCTGCCCAAGCCGGCCTGCCTGTGGGCGCCCGCCTCACTCAGGATGGCGATGACTCTGAAGGCAAGTCAGTGCCAGAGAAGGCCAGCCCGGGGTCCTCCGCCCTCTGCGCGCCGCTGCGCCCCACCTACCCTGAGCGCAGACACCGTAGGCAGGTCCATTTCCGGGGAGCTGGCTATTATCTTGTGAGCAGACAGGATACCTGCAAATAAACAGGGCTCTCTGACTGGGGACGCTCGCCCCGTGTTGCCACACTCACGCAATCGGTGACACGGGCATGACACGAAGTCGCGCTCCCCCGGGGCGCAAAGTCCCTTTCTGTTCACTCTTGCACGCGTGCACGCAGGTGCTGGGGGCTGTGCAGACCAGGCCGGCCCGCGGCTCACCGGCGGCCGTGAAGCCCCGCGCCAGCGCACAGGCCAGCTGGCCCGCGCCGATGAAGCCCACGCTCATGCTGGCGGGCGAGAGACGCCGCTAGAGGAAGGGCGAGGGGAGGGAGGCTTCGCGAGCAGCCCGCCGAAGGAGCCGGACCCGAGGACTTCCAGGCCGCGTGAGGGGCGACAGCGGATTGCCACTGCTCCTGGGCGGGCCCGCGAACCCTCTCACCGAGAAAGACGCGGGCGGCTGGCCCACAACAAGCAACGTGGCCGGAAGGAGGGCCAATCCGCGGCCGGGAGCTCGGCGAGAACCAATCCGCGACCGGAAGCTCGGAAAGGGCCAATCCGAGGCCGGAGCTCAGAAAGGATCAATCCGCGACTAGAAGCACGGGCAGCGCCAGTCCGCGGCCAGGCAAACGCCGTGCGCCCGCCTCCTCCAGGCAAGCCGGGCGGACTGTGCCGGCCTTGTGGCGCGCGCCCTCCTCCGGGCGCGGGCTCGGGGTTCCGATCGAGACCTGCCGAAGTCCCGCTGGGGTGGTTTCGTCCCTCTCTGCCGCCTCTCGGCCGAGAGGGCTCCTCCAGGCCGCCCGCTTGAGATGAGCGCGTCCCCGCCCGGCCTGGCGCTCGGCGCCCCGCTTCCCTCCGCGCCGG